ACATTTATTTTCATCATTATGAGAATCCAAAGATATAGGTACTGTAAGTTTTTCCATTTTTATAGATTAAGAAACTGAGGCATTAAGAGGTTAAGCAACTTGCTAAGGCCACACAACTAGTAAGCAATGGAGTTGGGATTTGAATCAAGCCTTTCAGATCCAGAATCTGTTGTCCCAAACCACCATGCTACATGGTCTCTCTTAAAATAAGTTTTAGATAAACATCTGTCAGTCTTTTAAGAAAGCAAATGCAGATTCTGACTCAGTGGATATGAGGTGAGGGCTGAGGCTCATTTTTTAACAGGTTCCAAGGTGATTCTGCTCTTTAAGCCACCTTATTATAAAGATGAGAGAGAAGAAATACACAGGAATTAAGAATCTGCATGAAAACATGCAGGTACATGTACATTCTCCTAAGCTAAAATCTTCTGCAGATAGTAGATTTCATTTCAAGTGGGCCTAATGCAATTGCAAGATCATCTGAGCTGTCTGAGCACAGTGCTAATTTTAAAGCTAAATGGTATTCAGGAAACTTATTTAAAATAGAGAAAAATACCCCTTCATTTCTGATTTTATTTAGTTTTCTAGATTTTAAGTTAAACCATTTATTTTTTTTTGATGAGTACTTTCTTTATATTATAAAAATTAATAATACCCTTGAAAATTCTAAACAATTATGGGGGATAATTCCAATTATGGTTGGAAACGGAGAAAAGGGGAATTTTCCAATCTTCTGAAATACTCCTGTAGAGGGAAGTCTATATGAGAACAGGGATGTGTCCCCCAAAGTGTTGCAATTTGTTTATTTCTTGAGATCCTCTCCACTAGTCTTGTGATCTTTTAGGCCAGAAGATCACCTGTTAAAATACAAATAATGTTTTTACAGTCACCACCTCAAAGGGGTTGGCTTTCCTACCAGGATTGCTAGTTGACTAAAATCTCTCAAGTCTAGCAGGAGGGGCTACTAAAACAAACAAACAAATGCAGAAATCCCTGGGAGAAATTTCCATCAAATTCAGCATTCCTGACTCAGAATTGTGTGGAAGTTTGCATGAGCATATGGGATCACTTAGCTCACCTTCCCAGTCAGGTGTACAGATTCGCAGCTTCTCCAGGAGCTGAATTTCCTCACAGAATCACTTAGGTATGCAGTGTTTTTTTTTTTTTCTTTTTAGCAAAAGAAAACATCTATTTGGTTTATGAATACCTTTATTACACTTCCTGCTGATTCAATGAACTTTTGGTTGGCCTCCATGATTGCAAACTTCATTCAGGGGATGTGTGTGAGAGGGGTACGGTAATTATTTGAGACACTTGCTGACAGGAGGACTTTCAAAAGCCGACTGAAGGTTTGAAGGCAGATCACAGTTTGCCTGTTTTCTTTGGACTTTCTTTAGATGCTAATAACTGCTAATTAGAGAAAGCAAGGGAAGCAGTGGTTGGTAACGCACTTTAAAAATTCAGTATGATTATAATATAGAAGGTGACTGCTCCTTCTCAAAGGCTAAATGAAAGCAGTTCTGATATTTGTCGGGCATTCTATTGGCTTCATAAATCACATTAATAGTTTTACATGTAGGTGTTTAATCAGAAGCTTATTCCAAAAAATATTTGTGTGACTGGTCAGTCAAAAATTAGAAAAACAAAATCCTAGTGGTGGAAAAGAAAAATGCAGACAGGGTAGGCAAAGGTAATCCCAGGCCTTATGGCAAAGGTGGAGGCCATGACCCCGACACCATATCCACAGAGCTTTCATTTTTACCAATTAGAATATTTTTTGTCTTTAAGCACAGCTTCACAGTTTTAAATCTGATGATTGGAGTGGATATGCTTAAATTCTTAAACAGACTGGCAATGTATATATATATATATATATATATATATTAAGATCTATTAAAAATAATGCTGAAGAGAAAAAACAGACTTAGGGAAAAGCCAAAATTCATAAAGAAATAGCACAGACTAAGAAGAAGCGGGGAAGGGATATGGATATTTTGGGCCTTAAATAAGTAAAATATTTACACAATTAAGTGCACTTTTACATTTTCCAGAGGTTGTAGCCACTTTCTAAGGGCCACAAAATGAAATTGAAATTATCTTAAATCTTCAGAGTTGAAGCTTCTAATTTAATGGAAAGTGTAAATGAAATTGAGGTTTAAAAATTCAGTAACTTATACTTTATGTGAAACACTAGATTTAACTATTAAATTATTAAATTGCTAAAATAGCAGATCTTTATTATCTGATGCTTGGCAACTTTGGCTGAATCTAGCTACGTATTCTGTACATCAGTAGAAAAAAATAATTCAGCCTAGGTCTGGCCAAAAAAAAAAAAAAATATCAGGTAAAACTTTTTCTTTTGCCAAAAACATTTATACTTGGTCTTATAAAAAGAGAAGCATAATTATTTTGAAATGAAGGGAAGTTATTAACTCCTGTGGTATTTAGATTGTAATAAATACAAGGCTATAAAACTAAAGCACTCTTAAAATTAGAATTCTAACCACACTTAAATACACAGTCAAGAAATTCCCAACACATTTCATAACTAGTCAGTGAAACCCATGAAAAGGGTTATGTTGTGATTCTGGGTCTCAGGAATTCAGATTGTGTGTGGTCCTTATGTCCTGAAACACATTTCTTCATTATTGAGTTGTGTAATTCTTTCTTGACTTTCTTTGAAAAAAATTAGCATTTTGTATCCAACTAATACAGTTAATAATCACCTTTGGTAAGAAGATTTAATGCCTAAATAGAAATTGTTTACCAAATTTACCTCGTTTAAAATATTACATGATAAAATGGACTGAAAATTGAGTTTATATTATGAAAAGAATGAATAATCTATTTAGCATAGATTTATAAAACATTATCTCCATTTTTTTTTAGTTGTCAATGGATCTATTGTTTTATTTTTCTATATCTGGTGCTGAAATTGAACCCAGCTCCTCATAAATGTTAGGAAAGCACTCTATCACTGAGCTACAACCTGAGCCCATCATCCCCATCCTTAATGGTTATAGCAATCAGAAAAGTATGAATAAGATGTGAAATATTTACCATTAGAAAATGTAAAAAAAAATCTCATTATAATGATAAACTTTAATTCTTCCCCTAAGACTTTACTAACTATAACTAGTAAGTTATGTAATAAAATAACCTGGTTGGTGTTTTATTTGCTTGTTATTCCCATGCTCACTCTAATGGAGTTACTTATGAACATCATAAAGGTCCAAAAACAGAGATGGCCAAAATAAGAATTACTAATATTAATATAAGATCCAAAGTTTCTCTCACAAAGCCATCTAATATCAAGTCTTTTCCTCTTGCTATTAAAAAATACTGGAGAATGATAGTGACCAAATTATATTATCATATTGTAACATTGCATGCATATGTAACAAAAAAAATCCCACCATTATGTATAACTAAAATGCACCAATGAAAAAAGGAGAAAAAAAATCACACATCTAAGGTGTATCCACTTCCTTTTTTTTTTTTTTTTCAAATTTCCCAATTTCAGCCTAACTGCATAAGGACATTTAACTGGCACATTTAGCATCAGAAAGCCTTTGAAGGAATGACTTATCGTACATTATGTTTGCATAACTTCTCACATGTATAAAGTGCACCTTTCAAGCATTAAAGGATGATCCCCAATTGTTATATCCCGGGAAGAGATTCAGTCATTGCTCAACATATCCATATCCTTCTTGTGTTTTATTTCTTCTCAGCCTTCAAACTTCCAGGCTGATCTTTCAAATCAATATCTAGCTCTTTCTGGGTGATTTTGAACATCCCCCCCTCCTCCAAATTTTCTCCATTTATGTTCAATCAAGCAAAGGACATCCCAATCATAATGCCATCAAGGGTCTGTGTGAGAACATCTCACAGTTTTGCAGAGAAGCATTTTCTGTCTTATACTCAATATTTTGGACAGCATCAGCACCAGCACTGATGAGTTCTATCAGTCACCGCAGTATCTGGGCCAGGAGTCAGCAGACAAGGAGTGGGAAAGCACAGAACTACATTTCAAAGGATGGGAATAATGTTTTATTCTGATTTTCTTTACACTGGTTTCAGATGCAGAGAACAGTTGATTTTAGTTCTATGCACAGTATTCCTATAATAAATGATCAGTTTTCATCTTTTAGGTTTCTACAAAGCTAAACATAATATACTTCACTTAGCTAATCACTAAATGACTGAAGCTTGGTATCCATAAGGGTCTCATTGAAACAAATACAACAGTCAGACAATTATTATATAACATGAGAAAAATATGGATTAATTTAAAATATTTCTCCAAGATATTAGTTACCTTCAAATACTCCCTTTTCTTAGCCAGACATTCAGAGATTAGTGTGTGCTAAGACCTCAGCCTAAGTACTTTAGCAAATTGGGCTGTACAGGCAGATATTCTGGGCATTGGTAGAAATAGTACTAGATCAGAACCCTGGCAAAGTTATCTCAATGAAGCTAATCAGCAGTTGTATACTGAAGAGAATAAAAAAAATGAAAAGAGAAAAAATAGGACTATATATTCAAATCTATTGTCTACTGAGAGGCCTTTGTGGACATCAGGGGGTCAAAATATGCTTCCAGATTTCAGGAGAGAGGTGATGGATAACTTTACTAGAAGATACAGAAAATTTGGGATAGTTCCCTGGCCCCTGACAGCTGGCCCTGGAGATGGTCAAAATAAGAATCACCACTATAAGGTCCAAAGCTTCTCTCTCACACAAAGCCATCATATATCAAGACTTTTACTTTTGCTATTAAAAAACACTGGAGAATGATAGTGACCAAATTATATTGTCATATTGTGTGCATGTATGAATAGGTAACAACAAATCCGGCCACTATATACAATTATAATGCAACAATAAAAAAAAATATGGGAAAGTAATCACACATCTGAGGTATATCTACATCCTCATTTTGATTTCTCAATTTCAGTCTAACTGCCTAAGCATCTTTTAACATTTTTCTTTTAATAGGGAGAAGAATTTGTTTCCAGTTTCTTATGGAATGGGGATAAACGAGAAGGGAAAAATGAAAGGTGTGACTTTGATTTACTTCCTCTCCTACATAATTCCATTACTCCTCACATAAAAGGAGACAGTGTAATTCAGAGGAGGGCAATGTATGGGTTATTCTAGAACACAGAGACAGTGCACTTAAAATACTGGCGACGTAGAAAAACTTGGAGAACACATGAGAAGACGGAAACATCAGCACTTGCCAATGGAAGAAAACAGGTAAGCGAAGCCAGAAAACAACCAAGCACACAAAAAGTAAGGACAGATGGTTGAAAACCCACTGTGCCCTACCGAAGAGTTGCTGGCTGGTCACTCTGACTCAGCCGATTCCACAGCAGCCTTCACCTCCTGTCCCTGGTGTGTACCTGCCTGAGACTTAAATTCAGTCACTAAACGCCTCAAAGTTCTGCAGTTTGGATTCTGGAGTCTGTTTTGGGTTTTCATCCCAGCTCTGCAACTTTGCTTCCTGTGTCATGTTGGATGATTTATTTAACCTTTCTGTGCTTCTGCTTTGGTTTCCTGAAGTATAAATGGGGCAATTAAAGCACTTAGCACCTAGGGACTGTTGTGAGGATTAAAATGAGATAATGTGTTAAGAGGGCTTAGCACAGTTTCCGGCTTATAATAAATGTTCAATGAATGCCAGCTAGTATTATTATGTTCTTCATTTAATAGAAACACTTTAGAAAGAGTTACCCTTCTTGAAATATCAGTGGCATAGGCACTTGGTCAGAAAATCAAGCTGTTAATGCTGCCCCCCCCCGCCCATCTTAACTCCTCTGAAAGATGTGGTTTCTTTTCCAGAAGGCCACAGGAATTTCAGCTGTGCTTGCCTCTCACCAGTGGACAGTTCTCTGCCAGTTTACCCAAGACTTCCTTTTAATCACCTCCAGCTGAGCCTACCCTAGTACATTCTGTGCTACTTTTAAAACTTTATAAGCCAAGAAAACAAAGTATAGGCACAAGTGGGTTCACAAGCTTCGAACCACAGGCAGAAGCCACTGGAACCCACATGTCCTCAGGCACTAACACAGCAACCATTACCCTGCTTGGAAAATGTGCCTGAGGTCACAGAGAACCCCAAGAATTGTTTCTGTTTCATCCATAAGTCACCCAGCACTTATATCCATTGTCAGATGTATTAGATGCATTTGTCTCAATCAGCAGATTAAAAATCTGGAACCCAGAAAGCAAACAGCTCCTTGCTAAAGGCAAATAAACAGATTTCTGTTGCAAAGGAAACTTTTTCCTGAGACTCATTGCTATTAAGATAGCACTTGCTTCTGCCTGGCCACAAATACATCCAAAGTTAGTAAATCCTATGGAGAGACATAAACATACTTTCCCCCAAGGGTTCACACATTCTCAAAGAAGAGGACAAGTTGAAATGGGAAGCAGGGAAATGCCATTTTGAACAAGGTCCTTCACATAAGTAGGTCTCTGGAGGTTTTTCAGGAAAAGATCTTGCAGTGAACTCATCCATCTTATTAATCCATGAGATTTCTTATTTTTTTTTTTTTAAAAGGTACAGGTGAAGAAGCTGGCCCAGGATCATGTTTATGTTTATACAAAGAGTCAGGCTGGTCAAGGGACTGCATTTGCTTAATAAGGCCACTCAGGGTCGGAGAGGAAGACCCTGCTTTAGAAACGAGTCCCTTTTGTAGGTTCCTGCCAGACAGACAATAGTAACCCAATTAAACAATTCCCGAGAAAGCCAAGAGCAATGGAGTGAAAACCAATGAGGTGAAAGCCACTTGGATCCTTCCTGGCTCAGGCTGCCAAATCAGTCACAGAGAACCCTCCAGAGGGGAAACCATAATGAGGAGAAAGTCCTTGCAGCAGACCTTTGTCCTCAACTCGCAATTATACCTGGAGCCATCACGAGGCGAGGGGTCTGAGAGGCTTAATGAAGGCTGGAGAGTTTGAGGCTCCTCATGTGGGAGCCAACGAAGCTGTCATGCTATGGCTAAGAATGCATATATTAAAAAGCGAAAACAAACTAGTTGAAAAAGTAAACAAAAAAGTTTCCTGCCTGTCCCACTTTAAATGCCTTCATGGTGAACTTTTGCAAATTGATTTTTCCTGGTTGGTTCCATCTGGTAACACAGGTTGCTCAGGGCACTTGCCTGGTCATACTTTTCTACCTAGAGATCTTATGTATAGGCTCTGTGTTGACCTACTGCATACCACTAATGCATCATACCTCCTAACTCCCAGCCACATCTCCAAGCTGGCCTGTTTTCAAAAGCCATTCAGATGCCTTTGAAGTCCCATCAATTTTTTTTTTTTTTTTGAGACATGCATGGCACCTGGTAGTTAGACTGGTCCACAGAGAGGAAATAGAAATGGCATTCAGTGAGCAAACATGATTTGGGAGCGCATAGCGGTTCTCTGTAGGGCTGGTATGATGGGCTCAGTGATACAACAGGAATGCTTGGAAAAGTTTAACTAAAGCAAGAGCTTGGAGAGCACAGAATTCCCCATTGTGATGGAAATGATGCATCTTGCTCCCAATGCACCAGCAATTGTGTTGCTTGGCACCAATGAGAGCATTCAGATGCTCATGATATGTTGAAAAACCCTCCAACATCACCGTTACCTTTCAGCAGGTTCTTAGTTGCTTCTTTACCTCCTCAGTCAGAGATAAAGCAGATCATTCCAGGTTAACAGAGGCTCCTTTGCATACACATCACATTCTTTTTTTATACAAAAGGCCTTTGCCTTTTTAACTTCTTACAAATTGACCCATAAAAGCATTCTGGAATTTGAGGAAGAAATCATGCAAAAGGAACATGTACTCTGCAATGTTTTCTTCTCTCAGGGCACAACAGATTCTAAACAAAGCAGGGCAAGGGCTTTTTTACCTGAAAAGACCCAGCTTGAAAAGAAAGTTTAGCTTCCACTCACGTGCAGGAAATGTGCTGTGGTATTTCATTCACCTTTTCATCCAGCCTCTGTGCCCAGGTCTTGACAGCAGATGGGAGTCATGGGTATGTGAAGAGACAAAACCAGCACAAGGACAGGGTCGCCGGAGCCAATTGCATCACAGTAAACCATACAACAAGAAATGGCCAGGAGCACCGATGACAGACTTTCAGGAGACAATGACATGACATGTCCACTGTTCTCTTAGCATTTGTCTTGTGTTCCCAAGTGACATATCATGGTTTATAGTGTTCACTATGAAGGTGACGCTGTTGTGAAAGTTTATAATTCAATATGTGGTTTGAAAAACATTTTCTAAATACAAGCTTTAGAAATAGTGGCTTTGGCTTGTCTTATCATTGATGGCATCTGATGAAAATCTTTACCACTATTCCTAAAATGTTTCAGAATGTTAAATGAAATAATAAAGTGTCAGAAGTATCTCAGGAGTGATATAAAAACCATCAGTATTGTTGTTAGTTGCTATTTTTTTGTCACATATAATATTTGGTTCCCTTCATCCCTGATGGCAATATACATGAGACAGAAGGCCTGATGTCAGTTGGTGAAAGTGGAGTGGATGTACCCATTGAACACTTCTAGAGGTTCTGATGTGTAATATTTTCTTTAATCTTAGAGCCCAGACACACAAATGCATCACAAAAAAGTGAATTCATATTATAAGGAAAAAGAAACTCTATTCTTATGATATCTGTAATGCATTCTTCTGTATTCTGATAGTCTACACGAGGATCCTGTTCTAAAAGCTTAAAATAGTCACACACACACACAAAAGTGGATTCACATTATACATAAAACAGCAACAATATCATGAGCCTATGAGGCATCCTGAGAATATGACTTAAAAAAAAAAAACAACCAATTTGATGATGAGAATTCACTTTCTGTGACTAGTTTCTGGTTTTACCATTCTCTGCATCTTATCCTAAATCAGTCCCTCAAGTCTTAGTATGTGAAACTTATCTTAGTAAGTTTCCTAGCTAAGTCTCCATGTCGGCCAGGATGTTATCCCCAAATTATCATCAGAATATATGTAGAAACAAGCTCTGACACTCAGCTTTTGTATGTTACAGTTCCTGTGCAGACATGCTGTTTTATGGTGGAGATGCCAGATTGGGGTCAAAGTCACAAAAAAATCTGCTGCTGTCCCTTCAGCAATTCTGTACTCTCTCCAAACCTGGGTTTGGTCTGTAATTTCTCTTTAAGGAACCACAGCCAAGGAGCAGCTGGTACTGTTTACTCTCTAGCTGCACCTGTACTTCTGCTTTGCAAGGCGCAGAAATGGATTTCTTCCACATAACATGAATTTCTGGAGTCTGGATGGAGTTCACCTCCTCCCCATTCATGGGCACACAATATACTAAAAGCAGGAAATGGGAAAACGGCATCATTAGGAGGCTGTTTTGGTTCTTCCATTTTGCTTGCCTTTAAAATGAATCTCTTCCTGTTCGCTACCCAGTGATGAAAACATCTTCCTTTGAAGAGAAATTAACTGAAAAGTGCACAGAAAAAAATAAGGTTCATAATGCAACCACTTTGAACACGCTCTGTTCCTGGTGAACCTGAAAAGTAGCTGGAGGCAGAGAATGTACATTCCTGGTTACCCGATTTATGTCAAGAAGGATTTCAGAGTATGCATCTCACACACCTGCGTGCAACTGGAAGCAGTTCGACCATTAGTGAGGAGTTAAAAACAAAAAACAAAAACCACTGGTCTTGAATCTTTCATTTCCTCGAAGGGACCTGATAATGGTAGGAGCTGGAGCTTGAGTGCTGCCTAAGTCAGTCACTGTTCAAGAATCATGCACTGAGAACTCCGACCCCTCCATTCCGTGGAAGCAGAAATGCCTCTGTCTTCAAGATAGGAAAAGTAGCAGAATACAACAATTACTAATAGGGCATTATGTAAAATTGTGGATGTGTAACCGACGTGATTCTGCAATCTGCATTTGGGGTAAAAATTGGGAGTTCATAACCCACTTCAATCTAATGTATGAAATATGATATGTCAAGAGCTTTGTAATGTTGTGAACAACCAATAAAAAAAATAAAAAATTAAAAAAAAATAAAAGTTTATAGTCAAGCTAGACAGATGCAGATGGCACAGGGAGTCAAGTGCCTAACTCTGTAGCAGCTATTTTATGAGTGGTCAGATATGAGGGGAGAGATCAAGGAGGCAAAATGTTTGAAAAGGCTTTAATTGAAGCAGTAAGACAGGAAACTATAATCCTAGGATTAGGAGAGGAGGAGGCTATCTGAGGAGGGGCACAGCAGGAGGGTCCTGCCACACACCACACATTAGGCAAATAGAAGGAGCTCAATAAATACCCATGGAAGTGAATGGCAATTAAAGCAGACTTTAGGTAGGGCTAAATTTTCATGTATTTTTTTTCTTTTGAAATGTAATCCCCAACTCTCCTTATTTTAGAACCATATTTTCCACTGGCTGTTATTTCCCAACAAATTGCTTGTATTTCCTCAAATGACAAGGATAAACTCATTTTTCTTCCAGAGTTGAAGGTTTTCTACTTTTTTTTTTGACCTTGTTATTTTTCAATGTTCAATCTCTAAAGCTGCTCTGTCCAATAATGGGAGCCACCAGCCGCATGAGGCTACTGAACACTTAAAATGTGTCTGATATCACCAAGTATTAGATTTACACATTAAATACTAGATACTATATTACACTGTAGTAATTCCAATGAGAAATGAGAGATCGTGGTTTGGTAAATAAAAGATGAATTGAAGAGATATCATCATAATACATCACAGTAACTAATTGGTTGTATGTACTCAGGAAAACATGGAGACAGAGCTGTCTTGTAGGCTTTTGGCTAGGAAATGGTCTCAACAAACAAAACAGGAAACATGGGAGGAGAATGTTATTTAAGAGAAATGAGCTTAATAGTCAAGCAGAAGTTACCTGAGAGAAATTCAAGTGGAAATGTCTAGTGGGAAGTTAGATATAGAGATTTGGGACATGAAGGAGGTGCTTAGGTTGGACATTTCAATACCTACCTTTTAGCTTCCCCTCCCTCTGGCTTTTTAAATTACAAGGGAGCTTCTCAGTAAAATTAAACGTTAATTCCAGACTTGAACATCTGTGGTCCTGTAAATTTGGTCCCATGCTGTCTTCTAAACTCTCTACCTCTTTAAGAAACACAGCTCCAACCAAATTGGAATATGTTCATAACCTTGAAATTAGTTGCTCTCTGTATACTTGAAGGTATAGAGATCAAGTGGTCTGAATTACTTCACCACCAAACATGGAATCTAAGCCTTTCCCTATGATTGAAATTTGGGGGGGAGGGATTGGAGAGAAAAGGGTTACATGATCAGAATCACTTCAATTATTGAGAACTTTCAATTTCCACAGAAACAAACAAAAAGCTCTTCCAGACATTAGCAGATGGCAACAGCAATTACCTGTGTGGAGTCGCTTTGGATTTATGCACGATTAGGGATTTTGGTTACCTAAGCCGTTTGCAACTACAGGAGAATCTCTGATTAGTTTACAGCTCTACTCAC